TGACCAGGAACAATGGTCACAAGCTGGCGGAGGGAAGGTTTAAGTTGGACATCAGGAGGCGCTACTTCACGGTCAGGGCGGCTAGAGTCTGGAACCAGCTTCCAAGTGAGGTGGTGCAGGCTCCCACCCTGGGGGTTTTTAAGAGGAGGTTGGATGACCACCTTACTGGGGTTGTTTGACCCCAGTGCTCTTCCTGCCGTGGCAGGGGGTCGGACTAGATGATCTGCTCAGGTCCCTTCTGACCCTAGAAACTATGAAACTATGAAAATACTTTGGTATATTGGATATATTGGGTCTTGCTCTCACTCCTTCACATCAGCATTAAGCAGGGTCACTGCATTAGCTTCAAGTGCATTTGATGGCAGAAACTACACTGATTAAACTACACTGCCTTATGCAGATGTTGCTGGGAACAGACTCACTCTGTACGGCATTCGTAAGAGTTAAGAGCTGATTTTGATTTCCCATTAGTGACTGTGCATGTGTGTTTTTGGGGGGTGCAGGTTCTTTTTTCCCCAAGGATCTAAATTATGTCTATTAGCAAGGGGCTCTTACTATACTTTTTGAAGGCCTTGTCTTTCAATCCTGTAGTCCTTATGGAAGAAAGCTCCCTCTAGTTGGCGTTTGATAGTTTCTGGAGATCATGTTTGATGCATGGCGTGACCAGGTTTCTTGCAAGTACTACACCAGTTGTACTGTGGCTCTGTTGTCTCCTGGGGAAGACAAATCAGGTTCATCACAGTAAGTGTGAGGTCTTCAGGTAGACACGTGTTTGGTGCTGCTAGTCATGGCAGCTCCATTTGGGTTCAGTTTTTTTACGTGTATGCCATGTTCTGGTGGAAGATGATGTATTCTATTTCCAAAGGAGTTTTTAGTACAGATCAAATACAGATACATGCATTTATATAAAGACATGACCATCCTTGGGACTACGTGAAGAGAATGTTTTAAAAAGTGCCTGCAATCCTGTTTCCTGGATTCACAGCCTTATATGTGTGTGCGCACTGCAGGCTCCGATTTTTCTGATCATATTTTTTGTTTTGTTTGTAGAGTCGTCTAAAAGAAGCAGTGCAGTTGCTGGAGGATTATAAACATGGGACCTTACCCCCAGGAGTCACCAACAAAGAGGTAACATAAGATCTGTTGCTAAATGGGTTCCCACTAACTGGATTTCCACTTAGGCCTGGGCAACTTCTTTACCAAAGTGAGATACGTTTTCAAAGGTGTGATCATAACTGATCGCTGGTTTATGACTTTCCTGGATTTGGATTGTCATGATTGCCATGTATTAGTATCTGGTACCACATCTGTTGAATCAAAATTTATTTTTTGCAAATCCTTATCTAATGGTGGCTTAGCTATGGCATATACCTGGTCTTGCATTAGTTATAGCATCAATGTATTTCAATCACTGGACTTCCCTCCCCTAAATTAACTATTCAAATGACTTTGGGCATTTGGTCTTCTGATTTGGAGTATGTCATGGTCAAACTGAAACTTCTAACAAGAGTAAGAGGTGATTTAACCAGACTCCACAAAAATGCAGCGAGGCAAAGAAAGGGAGAATGACTGTACCCCAGGGGAAGGGGAGTCTAACAGGGATGCATCCTGGGTTCCAGTCCCTGTCCAAGGGCTGTTTGTGATTTTTATTGAATGATTTGTTTTTCACATAAAATGCGCATACAGTCCAGGTGAGTGTCCTGACTGCTTTTTCTCCCTCTTGCTCCCTCTGGCACAATGAACTGTGAATTCTTCCTGCAAAGGAGCACTGGGCATATGCTAGGAGATGTTAGGCATCTGTTCACTCCAGGATAATCTGTGACCTAGTGCATGTGGGTTTGAAACCCCTTTGGCAGAGGGAGGGATCAGGCTTGCATGAGCGCCCTAACCAGAAAGTGAAGAGAGCAAGTGGCAGGCCCCTCAGTATCGCCTTCTCCAACCACATTTAAAAGAGATTAACAGTATACATTTAAAAGTACTCCACTTATGAAAGGGAGGGTTGTCGACGTCAGGAGGAGGCTTAGCATTGTGGGTCTAAAAAAAGACCATCTCCTCCCTGCCATTCTGCGTAAAGTGCCTAAACCCTAGAGATGGGTATGATCTAGGCACATTGCTGTTCCTAGCATTTCCTTATTGCCTTCTCACTCTGTACTGGCTTTGGAGCCCACTGATTCTCCTTAAATACTACGTAGCAAACGTAGGAGCCTAGATCTGGGATCTGGATTCCAGGCTAGGGGATCCAGACACCTGAAAGCTAAGTGTTGCAATACTGAGTTCTGCAGTATAGAGACCCGCTTTTGGATCTAGCTTTTTAGATCCACCCTGGACTAGTGTGCCTTGGCTCAACACTCCCGACCACGTATTGCATATCTGCTCCTGTGCGCACACCCCATACTTTCAAATATGCCAGCAAGACCACTTAAAGCTTGCAAGGCAATTATAACCTCACTGTTGAAGACTGAGCTGAAGCAGTCATGGAGCAGTGCCCTGGGCTTTTTTTCACCAGCAAACTTCTGGATTTGGTATGTGCCTGTGGGAGCCTATGGGGTATCTTTGGGAATGGACAGCTCGGACATGCCACCCCCATACTGTAGATATGCCCATTGTGTCCTAGCTCCCCTTTTTGATGTGAGGGTAATAGCACCTACCCTGGGCTCTCATGAGGACTGCACACTAGTTGCACGCTGTGATGATAGATGCTATATAAATAGCGAAGCTCAATACAAAAGTTTGGAAGGGCCTCATTGGATGGGTCTGTATATACCGGGGCTTATTTGGCCTGCAGCAATCATATTGGCATATATCCCAAGAATATAACAACAGAAATAGCAATGCTATTTTCACTCTTCCCAGCATGTACGCCAAGTATGTTTTTAAATTCTTTGTGTCTCATGCATTGTACCTGAAGAATGTATAGCAGGAAGGCTGTGCTGGCAATAAGTTTTAATTTAGTTTAGAACGTGGCTCGTTCTGTAGTCATTCTTCACTGTGTTGGGAGTGAGTCCATAATGCAGTTTTCAGAGGAGGCAGACCTGTCCCCTCTGCTTGCGAGCCTCTCCCTAGTGGCAAAATGCCCCTCTAACACCAGAAGTGTTTGTTCTGAACATTTCTTGCCTTCCAGGTTCTTTGATCCTGTTATTGTCTTGGTTTTCTTTCAGATAGCTTGAGTGGAAGGCTGAGTTTGAGGAAATGAGAAGAGCAGAGAGCTGCACAGTAGGGAACGTGACCTTAGCCTGCACCACATATCTGAGTCTGTTCCCACGCTAAGCCCCTCTGTAGTGGCAGGAACCCCCTGCTCTGCTGGCAGAGTTGCAGTACTTCTACCAAGTGGAGTGAGGCTCCTGCCATTAACCAGCAGACAGCTACAGGTGCATAAAGGTACTCCTATGCCTTCAGATGGCTTCTGTAGTCTTGTATGCATCTAGTGCCATCCCAGGCTGTAGGGGAGCTGTGTGAAGCTGCCAAATGGGCACACATTCTGGTGGCTTGGTGGTTGTACCCCCTGCTATCTGCTGCCAGATATCCTGGTGGCTGCATGCGGACACAATTATGACTCTGTCCACCCCCAGTGTGAAACTGAACCAGAGGATATTCAGTGTATTGGGCCACTCAGACACTGGCCTAAATTTTTCATTCTGCACAATGAAAGGCTTACGCTGCACACATAATTAATTGCAAGCTGCATAAACCCATTCCTTCTTTGTTCTCTCTTGCATGTATCCTTCCAGTCGCGGCACTACAAGTGTGATGTGAATTTTTACTAAACAAGTCAGAAGAATTCAGGTGTCAAATAAATGTATGGGCACAGAGCAGGGTGGCAAGGGAGGCTGAAAATGTATTGAAATAAAAAAATTAACACATGGATGTAAAAATAACTTCTTTGTAGTAAAAACTCTGTGCAGCAGACTGACAGTGTTGGCCTGGACGCTCCACCCCGTTATCAGCTGTTGATAACTGTGGGGAATGATAAATGGGTTCTGCTGATGCACTAGGGCAGGTGGCTTGTTACCCATCTGGGTAAGGAAGAAAGACGTGGCTCTCTGGAGGAGGGATCTAGACTGGGATGAGCAGTCTTGGAGGAGAAAACTGAGGAGCAGCCACTGAGCCTGGGGAGAAGGTTTGACCTGAACCTTTTACTGAACATAACTGTTAATTTTTGTCATCATAAAGTTTTGGACTTTACACAGTGTCTGGATTATCTTGGGGAAAGGTTCTTGCCTTTAGAGTTGTTTCCAGATCTGGCCAAAACCTGTTTGTCTTTGGGCTGGAAAAAAGTATGACCCTGGTAACTTGAGATGGAAAAGAGGATGCTGAAAGTAGATCGGGCTTAAAGCTTTGGCTTTTCATGGGACAAGACTTGTCATTAGACTCATTCCATCTGTGCATCAGTTTTGGATGATCTCTTCGATAAAAGTTGAGGGGGAGATTTGGCTGGATGGAAAGTTTGCCCTTCGTAAATACAACACAAATGTGCCAGATATACATAGCTGTAAGCGTGTCATTAATTCCTGATCCATTTGCAGAGCATGCAATGTGCCAGTCGCCTTATTCAATGCGGGAGGGTTTTGAGGATGTAGACTGCTTGCACTCAAAGTTTCCCTACTGTTGAAACAAGAAAGTCAAAAGAAGGTATTCCCCCAACCAGGTGTCTAATTTGTGCATGTCATGACTGCTGCTCTTATCTGGGTGGAACTAGGTTTATCGACATCATTTGCTTGCACTTTCACCTTCTATAGTGACTAGTCTAGAAAGAGGACATTGCCGGATTTTGTGGAGAAGTTTCTTTCATTCAAGTGGTCATGACGTTTTGCTAAAAAGTTTATTAAAGAGGCCATCCTTAATGGACTGGCCAACGCCAGTGTCCTGAGGGATGCCCAGCATGGGTTTTTTGCGGGAGGTCTTGCTTGACCAATCTCATTTCCTTTTATGACCACGTGACCTATCACCTGGACAAGGGAGAAGAGATTGATGTCATATATCTTGACTTCAAAAAAGCCCTCAATCTGGTATCCCATGATCACCTCTTGGCGAAACTGGCCAATTGTGGCCTTGGGTCCACCATGATCCGCTGGCTGGGGAATTGTGGTCGGATCCAGAGGGTGGTCGTTGATGGGAGCCAATCGTCTTGGTGCCCTGTGCCCAGTGGGGTCCCCCAAGGCTCTGTCCTTGGACCCATATTGTTCAACATCTTCATTAATTATGTGGACATTGGCGTCAGAAGCGGACTGACCAAGTTTGCCGATGACACCAAACTTTGGGGCAAAGCATCCACGTCAGAAGACAGGCGGGTGATCCAGGCTGACCTGGACAGGCTCAGCAAATGGGCAGATGAGAACCTGATGGTGTTTAACACCCAAAAATGCAAGGTTCTCCACCTTGGGAGGAAAAACCTGCAGCA